TGACGCGAGAGGTGAAGCTCTGACACTGTACGATCAGGCTACTGCTGCTTCCAGGTGGCTGAGGAGGAGGTCGAGCCTCTGTTAGCAGAGCTGCGAGAGTTTGTGTCAGGTAGTGGGACATGGTGTTGAGCTGAGCTCATGTGTTATGAAGCCTTTGTAGACTACGACGCCACCTTGCACGAGGCACTAGAGGGCACATCTGTCTACCGGGAGATCTCGGACGACCTTTTCTGGCACCATAATTTCCAGATTGCTTGTCCAGCATTGTACTCTGACCTCCAACAGCAGCTGTCTGAGAACGAGAAGGAGATTGAAGATCAGATGGCAAATAGCGATCTCGCTCGCCAAGTATATTCGGCATGGTTGGAGGCATCGGGTATGTAAATCTTCGGCATGTGTTCTCTCGCGGTTTCCAGGTCAGCCAGTGAAGGGTGAGATCAGAGCCGCTTTAATTGAGTATGGTCTCCTCGCCGGAAAGCCTGGATACAAGTCGACCAACAGCACTACTGTGGCCGATTCGAATCCAGTGGGTATAGATTTCAAGGGGAAGGAAGCCAGAATTGACTGATGTTGCATGGGACTAGGTGTTTCTGTTCTTCTCGTGTGTTGCGTTGGGGGCAGACGTTGATGATAGCTCACAGTTGACTGGATATTCTTCCACCACTCAACTACTCTTTCTCCTGATTCATCGGCGGTTTTTCGGCACTGTTTCTGTACCTGCACTACTGCGTAAAATGAGCGAATCCTTGGCAGAGTTGCAAGCTAAAGTAAGGTCGCTGCTGAGGCTACTCCGCCGCAGTGGCTTTTCCCTTCAGATGAAGGCCCAGGGCGAGAAGGTCCGTCAGATGAAGAAGGACGGTGCCAGCCGCGATGATCTTAAGCCTGAGGTCGACATCTTGACCAGCCTCCGCGCGGACGTTGAGAAGATGATCGAATCTGAGGCTGAATCGAATCCGGCCAACAAGATCAATCGCGCCGGTAGGAATCCCCCCACCGCCGTTAGTGAGCTGATGAGGCGATTGGTTAGGTCTCGAGGATCTCTGCAAGCGTCGGTTCCTGTTCACACCCTCCTTCTCAATCTACGGCGGTGTTGCTGGTCTCTACGACTTCGGCCCCCCGGGGTGCGCTTTGAAGGCTAACCTCGAGGCCCTCTGGCGTCGCCACTTCATCAACCATGACAACATGCTTGAAATCCAATGTAAGCTGTGAAAGTGACCTATACCGTAGCGTACTGTGCTACTCAGGCACTTGTCTCACCCCTGAGGTCGTACTGAAGACTAGTGGTCATGTTGAGAAGGTAGGGATATAACATCAGCCCTCACCATTCGGACTGATGGGATTTCAGTTCACCGACCTTATGGTCAAGAATGAGAAGAATCCCGATGAGTACTATCGAGCTGATAAACTCCTTGAGGAGAAGTGCGAGGCCCTTCTGCAGGAGCCTAGTTTCGAGGGTGATCGTGAGCAGGTAGGGAACCGTAGCTCTCGATAATCACTGCGATAACTGTTTCTCCTGTTCAGTTGCAGAAGTGGATACGCGTGGCGGATAGCTTGAGCGCCGAAGAGGTGGATAAGATCTTCCAGGAGCTTGGTATGCTCAATGCGTCCAGTCGCTGATTCGTAATCCCGCCACCGCCGCTCAGGTATCAAGCAGGCGATGAATCTCTCCTTCCCCTACCCCTTCAACCTCATGTTCAAGACTACCATTGGACCTCAGGGGAACTTGGTAAGTGCTAGGGTTAATCAGTTGGCTCTGTCGTTGTCGCATTCAATTCTGAATACATGAGCAACCGCCATTCCCTTATATGCACTGCGCGATACGCCAACATTTTTCTCTCCATCGTAGGTCGGCTTCCTGCGTCCCGAGACTGCCCAAGGCATGTTCGTCAACTTCCGTCGTCTCCTCGAGCAGAATGGTGGCAAGATGCCGTTTGCTGGTGAGAGCGCACTCGGATGATTTGTCAACAGCATCATTGTGTTTGTTGCAGCTGCTCAAATCGGCCTGGGATTCCGTAACGAGATTGCCCCTCGGGCTGGTCTCCTCCGAGTTCGCGAGTTCCCGATGGCTGAGATTGAGCATTTCGTTCATCCCGATCACAAGGACCACCCAGACTTCCACAAGGTTGCCGATTTGAAGGTGAGCTTTCGCCCGAAGCGTCAATGTTGACTTCATCCCCTTACCTGCTTTAGTTGCCCCTATTCCCCCAACACAATCAGCTGACCGATGGCAAGCTTCGTACTGATCTCACCTTAAGACAGGCCGTGGATATTGGTATGATCAACAATGAGGTCGGTCATGCTGCTCGATGGTTTTTACTTCCTATTTTTACTCCCATCAGACTCTCGCGTACTTCATGGGACGCACTTTCCTCTTCCTGGTCAAGGCCGGTGTTGACGGCAGTATGCTGAGGTGAGCCCGTCATGGAGTACAAGTGAATCCCGCCCATGTCGCTGGTTAGGTTCCGTCAGCATCTTAAGTCCGAGATGGCTCACTACGCCTGCGATTGCTGGGATGCCGAGGCCCTCCTTTCCTACGGATGGACCGAAATCGTTGGTATCGCTGATCGCTCTGCGTATGATCTTACCGCACACTCCAAGGCTTCGAAGGTGAGAACTATCGAGACCGCGACTAGTAGGCGAATTCCCGCTCGCGTTAGGTCGACCTCAAAGCCAACTACAAATTCGATGAACCCAGGAATATGGAGTTTGTCGAGTGCAAGATCAATAAGGGCAAGTTGGGACCGGCCTTCAAGAAGGAAGCTGGTAAGCTCATTGTAGTGTGCTGGTAGAGTCTGCCATGCGCTTGTCATTGCAGGCGCTGTGATCGAGGCTCTCAACGAGCTGACTGACAAACAGAAGCTAGAGATGGACGCCGCTATCGAGGAGGTAAGCATCTAGTGATACCGTAGCTTTAATCCGTCACCCTTCTTAGAACGGCGTCTATGAGCTCAAGATTTGCACTGGTGCTCGGTACAATATCACTAAGGAAATGGTCAAGGTCAAGACGGTCACTAAGAGAGTCCAGGAAGTTGTACGACCGTTCTTGTTGATCATCTTGGTTATTCAGTGGTGTTTCGTCAGCCCTTCATCCCCTCCGTCATCGAGCCTGCCTTCGGTGTTGGCCGCATTATCTACACCATCCTGGAACACACGTATGCGGGCTCGCTGATCGCCAGCACACTGATTGATTCCGCTGCAGGTTCCGCTCGCGTGAGATGGAGGATCAGGAGCTCCGCTGCTACCTTTCATTGCCTCCCGTTGTTGCTCCAACCAAGGTAGGTTGAGTTTGCGCCCGCAACGTTATTACGATGCTTTTGATAGGTGAGTGTGTTGCCCATCTCGAGTAACCCCACTCAGTTCAAGCCTGCTATGCACAAGATCACTGATGCTCTCAAGGAGCACGGTATCAGCTACAAGGTATGCTGTGAAGCTTCGGGAACTGTCGGGAAAAGCACTCTTGCTCAGGTTGATGACAGTGGCCAGGCGATTGGCAAGCGATATGCCAGAACTGATGAGATCGGTATCCCGTTCGGTATCACCATCGATTTCCAAAGTCTCAATGATGACACTGTAAGCCCACGAGCCTATTTGCCTTCCTGAGTTCTTCTTCAGGTCACTCTTCGTGAGCGTGATAGTATGAGCCAGATCCGTCTACCGATTGCTGATGTTGCCGATCTTGTTTACAAGCTTTGCACTGACCGTATGACGTGGGAGCAGGCGGCCGAGAAGTAAGCTGGACACCATTTTTTGTTGATGGTTCATGGTGACTGGCAGGTACCCCAAGTTCGACGCCCAACATGCTTAGAGGGTGCGATAGTTGCGGTTCCGTGCGGTTCGATCGTTAGTAGACATTCATTAACACAAAGTGACGTTTCTCGGAGTCGTTCGTGTTGCATTGGAAACGACTGTGAATGCCACAGGAAGAGGGAGCCACCATGCCTCGAGCCAATGACTAAGTTTTCACTTTCTTTTTTCTAACGGTGATACCAATCTCATACTGCAAGAAGATGAGCGCAAGTATGATGATGGGACTTCCTACGAAACAATAGTTACACTCACACTATTGCAATTCCTTGAGCAGATATTCCTCAACCAACACTGAACATCAATCGACTGATTCCAATAGTCATCTTGCTCTCTATCGGTTTCTCCCGTTTCGTATCGAGATGCTCGTTGTGGGGGGAAGAGCCTCACAATTTAGTCAATTGCTTGGGGAAATAGCGTGCTATTTGTGACAACGTTTTCCACACGTGAGCAATAGCGAGAACTGTATAACCGGTGAAAACTTTGACACACTTGGCAACATAAACAGAAGAAAATATGAAACTTGAGTGAGTGAATTTCTGCATGTATTCAACGGGGAACCTGCTGGACTTGTGTCGGATCAAACTTGGCCCTCTTTGCAGCTGGCTGCGATGCACTAGACTCCTCCATCACTTGTCGCCATAGAACCGGCACTCGTGGATTCTTCTTCACACGTCTTGCCATATCGTCGAAACGTTCAATCAACTCCCTGTGACTTTGGCTACCGGTTCCCCAAAGAATTCGATAAACTCTGCGCAGGATACTCCGTAGCTGGTCATCGATAAGCGACTGTCCTCCAGTGACTATCAGCTTGGTACACTCCGTAATGACGCGACTATCCTCCTTGGAGAGAGTCCTATTCAGTAGAGTGACGAACTGATCGTTCTTCGTCTTGGTATTTCGACCGCCAGTTGAACCAGCCACTTGTTTGAGCATCCGGTTTGTCAAGGCGTTGAGGTTCTCCCCGTAAGCATCTCGGCTGTTATGCTTCGAGGCGTTGGATGGATTCGAAATCGACGTTGATCCCACCCGACCAACTAGCTTGCTGGACTTGCTCACATCTTTGCTGCTATTGATCGCTGCCTCGAGGTACGAATCCTTGCAGAGGCGAGCCGATGCCTGGAGAGCTTCAGGGATTTGATTGAAAAACTGTGTTAGAGAACCTATCGCAGGGCCAAACGCTTGGTATGTCTTCACATAGGGTCGGAGCCAGGCGGGTAACCGATGGGCTTCGCTCTGGAATCTGAAGACGATGTAGACATATCCACAAACGTCTAGCTAGTGGGAGGGCAATCGCTCTACCTCTCATCACATAACAGGACCGCGCCAAAATCATTCTTATGACGTATGATGCGCCCAACAGCCTGATTCACAGCTCGCATGGCCTCGAGGCTATACCATGCACGGCCGAGGGGAGCGTGTGCGCCTAAAGAATGATCTTCAGTCTGACACGCGTGCTAGTCAACCTGCCTTTTTGAATGTCTTCGATGTCTCTTGCAGTATCCAAATACTGCATTTTCAGCTGCACCCTTTCATCCTTGAACATTGGATAGGGTATCTGTCGAGAAAGAGAAGAGACAAGTATTGCTACTGTTGAGAGAGACTAGTGGGCCTACTCCAACGACCATGACTATGCGGCATTGCCGGTCAGTGAGGTCAACTCCTTCGCAAACTTTACCGCGGCAAACTGCGCAGAGAATCGCACCATTGCAGGAGTTAGAAGCTATAGCCGCTGTATATTCAGCCAGAACCGGTCTAAGGCGTGTCTGAGCACCACGAATAGTATATATCGAGTTACACGGCCAAGCAAGTTGATGCATCTCAATATCGTCATTTAGAGTATATAATCTCTTTTTCCACATTGCCCTTCCATTTTATCCCCTCTCCCCGCATAGGTTCAAAGCCCACAGCTGACATAGTGGAAAACATGTAGTTTACCGCGTCATTTGGTTCTTCGAAAATTCTCAGTCCTCTTTGCTGGAATCGGTTGGTGATATCATGGGAGTCCCAGAAGTCCTTGGCAGTTCTGAGCTGTGCGTAGCTGCTGAACGCAACCAACACACCGTCCCCTCCTAAGACCAGTGATTAGAGATACGCACAATCATTTCGATCCCACCTGCTTTAGGCGCAACATTCGCCAAGACATTGCCAAGCTCCTGCAAATAATCATGGCTGTTCCTAGTTCTGAAGCTGCCGTTTAGTTTAACATTGGTTGGCCCCGCACATATGATACCACCCCATACTTGATCGAAAGCTACAACGCTGTTATCAGGAACCACGACTTCAGGAGCTCGACCTGCATCGGTGAACGAGTAGCCAGTGAAGCCCGATAAAGCGTGTGGTCACTTATGATGTGATCGTTCTCGAGCATTATAGGGAAGTCCACGCCGCGTAGTCCCCGCTTGAACTCAGTGAGGGGGGCGAGTGTCCCGCTTGTGACTATGAGTGACAAAATGCCCTCGCTGGCCAACAGTTTTCTGGCTGCTACACCTCCTGAGAAGCACCTAGAATCGGAAGACACTGACAATTAAATCAGTGCGTTTGGGGCGCACTGACTACCGACCGACTAAGATGGAGGTCGACGCTGTACACACCTGAGATGAACTGATTTCATGTGATTGGCCTGCTCTCGTATTTTGTCTTCGCGGCACTTCGCTGCCCTCAGATCTCTGCCCTCCACCACAGAGAAACGAAACACCTAAAACGGCCGTTCCTATCAAGGACAGACGTGCGCCGGCTTGCCTTGTCAAGAAGCTCAATATCATTCGCAAACACCAAATCGATGATGCGTAGAAAGCTTCCAAGGAAAGCTCCGGAAGAGGCAGCTCCTACAATCGACAGATTCACAAGTTGATCGCACTCTCACCATACAAAAGCTCACCTAGTGTATTGTTGTTCGAGTGACCACCAGCGTCAGCCTCCGGAGCTGTTGTATGAAAGAGGGATATAGCCTGAACGGAACGAGATGATAACACTGTCACTTAATATCAGTCCGCGGCTCACGCCTTCAAGTGTTGAGCGGATCCTCGTAACGGTCTGATCCGTGATCCCTGCCTGCTTGAAAAAGTCTAGCACCGCACTTCCCTCCGTTGCAGTAATGATATCAGCCGACGTTAGTGTAGCCTCCAACGACATCAGGTCCTGAGTAATCAGCAATGACCGTTTCGGGCCATCTCGAGATATATGCCGACCTCCTTAAGAAGCAGAAGGTCATCCTCCGTCACTGGCGCGGCCGAAGGGCTGTCATCGGGGGCATGCTCAACGTTCAGGCCCAGAATTTTTGGAGAATTATTGCAGCGATAAGCAGCCTGAACAAGGTATATGCTGTACAATACACTATGCAACTTGTGCAATTCGACAATTCGAATGAGCTCCAAATGGAGGAATGCTAAGTCGTGAAAAAGTCATACCTCATCCACTTCTTCCACAGCTGCGAAAATATCAAAGTTGCCCCACTCGAAACTTGCAGACTCCTCACAGACAGCTTCAATGTTATGACCTTCGTCCACTATGACGATCGCCCCTGTGAGAGCACATACATGGTAGCCGCTCAAGCACGACTACCCACCTTCCAAGGCCTGTGGCCCGAGGGCTCCCTTCAAGGCTGACAGATCGAAGAGGTAGTTGTACGGTACGAGCATGCATCCCAAATTAGACCCCTCGCGCGCCACCTTCCTGGCGTAGTAAAACGGACAGTAGCCTACCGAGCACGAAACAGATGCAACCCCTCAAGAGTTCCGCTCGAGACCTTTCCCCCTAGCATGCGATGTCAGTTCTTCGACGTCGAGAGCTGGCGGCGGTATCATTGAGGGCGTCTCATTCATCTGCCACATCCGGTTGTAGTATGGACAGGCATTCTTGAGTATGAGGCTGAGATGCGGTCGCCTACAACGACACTGCCTCGATGAGCTCACCTAGTGCATGCGGCTGTTTTCCGACTCCCCTGTATGGCGCTGATCCTGGTGTTAACGCAATAATGCTCTCGCGACGCCAAAGTTATATGCTGACAATCCTTCGCGTAGCTCGTACCCCTCAGTTCTCGCATCACCTACACCATGGCTCGTAAGCTCAGGGCAAACTGTACACCGTCAGTTTAATGACCGAACATGAACCTTCTACGAACTCCATAGTATGAAGTCCATACATGGAATAGTGTCCATGTATGATGAAGTACACCATAATGAGGGAACGCAACCGGCGCTACTCTGACGAACCTACCTGTCGGAGTTGGCTATGAGTTCTCGATGAATATACAATCTTCGGCACCGCCACTGGCGACTTCCGAGAAGGCGGGGACGGCGACCGACGGGATTGCCGCTGATGCTCTTCAACGATCAGCTGCTTGGAACGCCACCGCGGTCCGATGATACCTGATGCAAACGGAGGCGCGGCCTCAACACTCAGGCACATACCGAATTCCACGGCGTGAGCTATCTCAGGCTGCGTCTCCAGCGGAACATCTTCAATTGGAAGGGAAGTAGCGTTGGTGGGTGAAGACGACGAAGGCATCTTGTCCTCAGTGAGGCTCCTTCGCCAGGCTAGGGTGGCACATAGAAGACAGAGAGTCTTCCCTGGAAGGAAAAGGTCAACCCTAAGACGCGAGGAGAATTTGCACACCTGTTCCTGTCGGGGACTCCAGTAGAGCGTTGTGAACAGCTGGCGAGCCTGTTTTTGGTGGATCCGAGTAAGCAGTTTGGAGAGTCTCGATAACCTGAAGATTGATCATAAACTTCGGAAATGAAACGTAGTTAGCTGTATGGAGAGTGGAGAACAAGGGCACAGGTCTGAAAACTTGCCTTAGTCATGTACGCCAACTGTGGTGGGTAGGCTTCGAAGGGGAATTCAACCGTCACACCGTTGATATCATACCTTCTCACACTGCTGGATACTGTGCTATCTGTGGCCGCTACGGATGATGATGAAGAAGAAGACGACGACATGAGAATGAACTTCAAATGCGGATAAAACGTCAATCTCTGTAATAGACCGGGAGCACACGACAGGTATAACATGTAGCTCTCAGAAATGTTTTGATACCAGACAGCACCACGGAACCATACGCATGCCCGTTCAGTCCGAGAGGATGACGAGTGCGAACGATAACAACCGCAGCTCTCGACACAGCGCCAGTATTTGGATTCTATTGAGGGTGCATCATGTCCGACAGCTTTCCCAGAGACTTCTCGTCGCCCCTCCTGAGCACTTCAAAGTACCAAATTGACGCTACCAATCGGACTTCCTGAGGCGGCGTGTCTCACCAGAAAACACGCTATACTTTCTACAGGTTCTTTGGTGACAAACTGGTCACCAGTGAATACCTCTCAATAACGCTTTGCTATTTACACGCAGATAAAAGACTCTTGTACCGCACGACAAGAGCTCAATACGCCTCCTCAAAAGTATGACCTCTTTCGAATGATGCCAACTATAATATAGAAAGACAGAGCTAGACGACCTGCCCGCATGCGGGAATAGAACCAAACCATTAATTAACACTGTATCACAACAAGGTATCGGATGAATCGTGAAACTCAAGCACAAGTAAGTGACTTAGTCATGTAGGTCGATCCAATTGATACTTTAACACTCACCGAGATTTCGATGTCCATTGTCGCTCATTAACGTCATGCTAGCTTACCAAGCGCCTCCCACGAGACAGCCAATCATAAAGTCAACACAAGCAAGAGCGATCCAGAGAGATGAATTATAGCTGAACATGTGTGCAGACATCATGCACGACCAGACGTTGATCTCAGGACCGAATCGATATCGCCATCTACAAGTTCCGGATAACTGCTTGAGAATTCCTTGAAACCTCCACTGAGGAGATATACTTCATCCCACCCCTTCTGGACCTAAGGGCATGGTTCGACTAGAAATAGGAATAAACATCACCATTGCTGTGACCGTGCCTTTAGCCGCCCTGTCATCAACATCGTAAACTACCATCATGCGAGCTTTCATTTCGCTCGGAGTAGAAGCGGAGGCACCTTGCGACGATCGTATCATAATAACAGACGGTGCAGCTACCGTGCAGGCGCGCAAACAATTGAATCCCACGTGTGCACTACTTTTCGAGTCCCCTAGTCCTCGAGAGGTTCTGAACTTGGCCATCTCGGGTAGTATCCGGTCCCGAGCCAGCAGTGCCGCTGGGAAGCTGATAGCTGTTGCAATGTGAGCTACATTGTAGTCTTCGGGAGACCCTGGTAGAATCCGATAGAAAAACCATCAAATGGACGGTTACTTAAATCCAACAATAAAACATCAGACGTGTCGGTCCATCCCATACATTCTGAACTGACAACTGAATATACAGTGTCACCTGAGGCAAAGCTCGCCGATCGCCTTGAGGGATATAAAACGGACAAAATATAGAGAAGGAAGTAAAGGAGAGATTCTCATCCAACCGTGAACTACCAACCGAGCTACTTCGAAGAATGAAGCTACCAGTCAAATGCCTTCTATGATGCTTAACGCCAGAGCCGGCCGGTATTCACGCTAATCGAAGTTATGCCAAATATTACTCTTATGACTCGCTCCTGTTCTATTTGTATATCCCCTGCTGGTAGCAGTAGCATCCGAAGCTGCGGGACTCCCTGTCAAGTGGTTCGGCTTACTATTTCTACTAAAGAGGTCGGACTTACGATCCAGGTTGTCGGAGCTGGCACTGTCGGCCATGGCATACACGGACTCAATTGCTTCAGACTCTCGAAGTAGTCGAGCTAGAGTTCTAGACCTCATCCCTAGGTGACGAGACTCTAAGCAATCCAGATCTATCGAGTCCTACTGCGGAACACCTCCTGTTTCCTCGAGGCGAGCTCCTTGTCCGATACGAGAGTGATGTTCTTCGCAGTGGCGCCGGTGTCGATGTTTGATACTACCTGATGGTCCATCGCAGAGACCAAGTACTTGTCCCGAAGCATTACATGAGCATACTTAGGGTTAGGTTTAATTTTTCGATCGAGAAAGTTCCTCCTCCTCCTGGGCACCAACGGGCTGCCAGTATCTGAGTTCTTACGAGGCGCAGCGAAGGACATCAAAGTCGAGAAACTCTGCCCTAAGCTGCAGGGATTGATAACATAAGTAGAACCCGCTTATGGTAAGGTTGACTTATAGAAAATATCAAGTGAAGGGGACAGAATAGCTAGGCTAGTCGCCAGCTACTCTGATCGTGGTCTCCAGTATCACATAATTGTGTCGGCGGAGCGAAGCGGAGGGATGAGTATCATCACTACTTGACTGTGATTATACATTACGATGACGAGTGGATAACGACGTCGGCTGTGATAGGTCCATTCTGTACCCGTCATAATGAAAGAACTCATTAATGTTCGCAAACTTTCTCGACTTGCGCTCCTTAATCCATCGTGCCGTGATATTTACGCGCATGCAAGATTTCAGCGGTTTCAAGATACCCTCGAGTCGCCTGCTAGCAAGTAAGGGAAGATAACTGAACTGTGCTACTAGTGTAAGTACCTCTTGCTGGACTCACCAACGCTACTGGGGTGATATTAGTCCTCTGAAATTCCTATCTTCCAAGTTGACACGCATTCCCCGAATTTCGGATCCATCAATACTCCCAGGTTTTCTCCCGTGCTTGAAGATTAACATCCCTTCGTGTTCAAGTACTGTGGCCCGTGGTGAATTGTCCTACTGGCCAAACTGCTTCTATTGATTGGTTTTCTCTCAGAAATTTTGCCTGATAAAAAGTTTTCCCGCGGTGAACTGTTCAAATTAACTGATCGAGTGCATCATCGCATACGATCATACCGGACGAGTCTGCAGAGCACCCCATTTTCTATAGTGGAAACGAAATTAATCGGCAGCTCATGAGCAAGTAAAATATCCGAACCGCGATAGTGATTGCACTTTAATGATAGCACCACTAGCATAGTAGTATTCTGGTCATTTCAAAATTCTCGAGAAACTCCGGTCGTTCCTCAGTATGGAATACTCGTTCTCTGCCATTAATGAGGGCTGATAAGGAGTCGTTTTTCGGGCTCTCCATCGAGCTTGGTAACTCATGTTACAGTAATTTATGGCGAAGTTTATGAGGCGGTTCGGTGCTGCCAACACTCAGCTGACTTTACTTTCTATTCCACAGACCAAAATGGGTAAGTTTGGTATCGTTAGCACGCGCTTCAAGTCCCTATTTCTATATTGAACCACAGTGGTGTTCTCAATGCAGAGAATGATAACAAGAGTATCGTAGTTCCATTTTTTAGGGGCGATGACAGCAGTGAGAGCTCTCAGAGACCACGAGAACAAAGGGAAACGCTCGGTTCCCTTACATAGCTTGTAATGCACCTATTTACCATTAATGTACTTGTTTAATTGATGATGGCTTGTCTTTCTTTTCGTGTCGCGTTCTAACTTTATCAGTGGCCAGGATTCGTTAGATCCATCCGAGATGTGTGGTGATCTGTTTTCACCGTGCAACGGTGATTGCAGCTTATGATCAATCGTCAGAATTCTGCTTGATTGGAAATGATTCTGCGGAGTGGATGCTCAGTGGGCCCGTATTGGAGTTCGCGAGTAGCCTACCTTCAATTGAGTCGGCGGTTCTTCGCCTATGAGGACACTCCAACATTCTGGCTCAAGGGTCACAAAAAGACGGTGCTGACGATACAACCCATGTTCGACCGAAACTACAGATTGGTAGTCTCCTTGAATTCGATAATTGGGGCGGTCGGAATCATTACATAGGCAACATGGCACGCCAAGGAGGCACTGGCGCTCGGACGTGCTGCTAAATGGGACAACTTGCCCGGTGCCTTCGAGCCAGAAGAAGGTTGGGATAATAGGCTCATAACGAAGATAGAGGAGGATCAAGATGTGTTGAATATGGTAGACGTCTCGAATGTAGCAAGTGTGGTACCTCAGGCACTTGATATCCAGCGTAAAGAGCTGATGCGGGACTCTGACGGCAACCAGTGGTTAACAATCAAGTCCGAAGAGCAAGAGAGTGACGACGAATATGACATGGATGATCCCCTTTGGGCCAATGATGAGTATGCACGCGCTGTCCAGTTCTGCGTATTCATTCTTGCTACTTTCAGAGTGCTCACACAATGGGCACAATCCTGCGTTTGCCCACTGCGGCGCATCCATAGTCAGTATTATCTCCCACCAACCAGAATAGAACAAGTATCTGTTTGCATCGCAAGGATGCCTCCCAAGTAGGTTCGGTGTCGGCTGAGATTCCGGATTTATCATCCTCGAATTGCTACTAATTTCGATTTCTGGTTCGTCCATGCGATATCAGGGTGTCGGTTTCCCATAGCATTGTGCAGATTACAGGTACGTCTTCATAAACGACACTCTAACACAAAACCAGATCCAGCATCTGGAAAAGTATTTCAATGCAGCCATGCAAGCTTTTAAAGCGGAGGATCAGTCTAATGCGAAGTTGCGACATCACTTGAGGTGAGCCATTGCTATATCGTTATACGGCTGGAATGGTCTAGTTGGTTATGACGATCGCCTCACACGCGATAGGTCCCGAGTTCGATTCTCGGTTCCAGTATTTTTTTGCGTTCTGACCAACTGTCAATATCGATTGTATTGACGGATGTGACTTCCTCAGGCACCGTGTGGGTTTCTCAGAACAGGATGAGATAGATCGATACGAGGACAGAGATTCATTCTTTCGACCAGAATACGTTGAGGTGTGACAGGGAGTCTCTCGCGGTAGAGTCCGCAGTCCAGACCTAGAATGCTGAAATTTACTTCACCTTCAAAGGAGAATAAACTCGTACGCTGGAGGTCCTTATCACTTATTGGTGTCTATGGATATGCATGTTTCCTCTTTGAACCAAGATCCTTCGCAGGTGGTTGATCGCCAACGTGTGGTACTGGAGGTCTTCGCGCTGCGGGCGAAGACAGGCGCAGCCGAGTGGCAGGTGCATCGACGGCCACGTTGTCGATGGCTCATTTGCTCTGTCTGCCAGGTGCGGATCGCGCGACTTGCATACATGCGAATAAACATCCCTATACAAAGCCCGAGTCACACGAAGGGCATGCAGGACCTGCTTTCAAGGTTTGTCGCTCCTTATCATCAGGTGCGGGAAAGGTTCACTTCGAGTTTCAACTGATTGCAAACTGCACGGTCAGGTTCCCGTATTCCGCGATAACGTTGTAACAGATTTTTCTCAACACACGATGGACGAAACCAACGAGCTGCTCAATAGACAGGAGCGGGAATGCAGGAGAAAACTTGAGCAGGTAACCCTTCGAACTCGATGAGAGGATGATCTCCTCGGATCAGTTGCGAATCTCTCGCGAGAAGCAGCGCGCCCGACGGCGAGAAAAGGTGACGATA